ATATTCTAATTTTGTGAAATACTGGATTTGGGTTTTTTTTTTGTCTTTAATCCATAATCATCAAAATTGAAACAAATAAAGGCTTGAAATATTTCACTTTGTGTGCAGTGAACTAATATAACATACAAGTTTCACTTTTTGAAACAAATTATTGAAATAAATGGACTTTTCCTCGATATTCTAATTTTTTGGCACATACCTGTATCCATTGCCATTTATTTCCACAGAATGATCCACATATGTTTCTTGTCAAACTATTTGTTGCTTAACATTATGTGTTCCAGCCATGGTGAAAGAATTTTAATTTTCAAAATTTTTTCTGGCTCAAAACCCAGAGTTGGCGACCAAGGTTTGGGTTGGCCAGGCACTTGGCCCCAGCCACTGTCCAAAACACAATGCACCAGCCCCTTATGGCCTCTCCAGCAGGTGGTGGGCCCACCGAAGAATAGCTCCACGTTATGGTTTTGGGCTAAGCCCATCCAGGCCCCGTGGGTATAGGCCTGGCCACCAGGCACACACATGCGAGCCCCTCCCCCAAGGCCTGGCTCCAGGGAGGGGCCACGGTCACCCCATACTGGGCAGGGTAAACATGAGCCTTAATTTTTTACTGTAGAGTGCAGAGCTCAGTCACCAGTGAGGAGCTCAGAGTAGAGCCGCTGCTCCTCCACGTTGAGTGGAACCAGTTGAGGTGGCTCGGGCACCTGTTTAGGATGCGCCCTGGACGCCTCACTGGGGAGGTATTCCGGGCATGCCCCTCTGGGAGAAGGCCTCTGGGCAGACCCAGGACACATTGGAGAAACTATGTCTCCTGGCTGGCTCCTGAGGAGCTAGAGGAGGTGTGTGGGGAGAGGGAAGTCTGGGAGGCTCTGCTCGGACTACTGCCCCCGCAACCCGGCTTTAGATAAAGCGGATGAAGATGGATGGATGGATGGATGGATGGAAACATTTTTTGGATCCAAACTTGTAGAATTTGCATCTGAAGAACCAATCAGAAATCGTCATAGCCACAAGAACTTCAGCCATTTAGAAGACTGGGTGTGCAGACTACTGAGCCATTCAGACAAAGTCTCCGCCCTGGCTGGCACACGCCTGTGCTAGTTAGAACCATTCCTTTGTCTCAGTTAAGTTAGAAGAAGTTGAAGAAGAAACTTAAAAAAAAACGGCAACAAAGAACAAACAAAGAAACTTCGAGCCTCCTCAGGGTGTGTCCCTTGTCCACGTGTTATTTTTGTTTTGTTAAATTAATCATATTTTATTTAGATTGCGTGCTCACATTGCCACAGGAAATGTTTTGTAGTTGGAATCTCCTTAATAAGGTAAACTGTATTATTGATCACTTTTCACAGGTGGTTCAGATTTGATAAGCTTATAACTAGCAAGTTTGTTTTCAACTTAATCATTGACTATGCATATTTTCATGTAACAAGATCATTCTGTTGCATATCCTCTGTTTTTCAACTCTTTTAGTCAAGTGTGCCCCCACCATGTCCTTCATCTACCCTTTCCCATTCTTCCTGCTCCATGCCTGATGCTTCAAAGGTGACACAAAGCAAAGCACACACCTGCATACAGATAAACAAATTTAAACAATCTTTTTGTTCATTGGGGACATTATTTTGTAAATGGCGCTTTTACATTGGTTGAATTATTATAGGGTTGTGTTCCAAACATTTCAAAGATTATTATTCTTGACAGTGCATTTAATAATACGTACACTCACAATATTTACAATAATAGCATTTTCAAGTTCCTTCCATTAAAAAAAGTCTCCATAAATCTTACAGATACTAAATTGTTTAAGCTGTAGATTTCAGTGTTGTAGTGGTTGCAGTAAACTGTTTTGTTTTTTATGTTATTTTAACCACCCTGTGTAGATTGTCCTTTATGCCAAAGGCTTGGTGAACAAGACATAAGTTAGAAGTTTCTGTCGTTAAAGGTATTGTATGTTCAGAAATTCTGGCAAAGAACGTTTGCGTTTTGGTTGCCATCTACACAACTCCACAACTCATCTCAGTTAGGGTTCCATAACCAGAATTCATTTCCACAGGAAACATACTAGGGACTGGGTGAAGAGCATGGTTTTTCTTAACACATCCATGGGGAAGAGCTGATGCCAAAGGAGATACAGTAGATATATACACACATACACTAGTGACATACACTAGCACAAAATTAAGATACCACAGACACACCCACACACATAGACAGCCACCCCAACAGGGTCAACACACTGGCCCTTCTTCTGTCTTTCTCCTCAGCTGTTTAGCTGTGCCATCTGTAAGTGGAGGTGTTGGAATTGGCATTTTTTCAGCCATCTCCCTTTTGACTGTACAGTGATGCTGTGAATATGACAGTGTGTAATGAATTATAATCACTGACTATACCTTTAATGCTTACTAACACTAGACTTTTCATGGCATCAAAATTGTGACTTTTTATCAAAATCCATTTCTTTACAGATAAATTGTGTATGACACCTTGGCAAATAAATTGAATATTAGCAGTGGCTACATACAAAAAAACATACCTAAAACAGTGACCCTTGTCTTATTAACAGTATGTCAAATGTCATGACTGGACTATACAGGGGTGTTTTCTGTAGTCTGCATGTAATAATTTAACTGAATAATGAAAACAGTACAAAAGAACCTACAATTCCATGAATGTATAGAGCTTCATGGTACAACAACTCTTTCTATAGTTTTAATGATTCGGGAGCTGCAAACATTTGTTATAATTTGTCCCTTTTTTGTACAGGAGGACCTCAAGGGCAGGCTAGAGAGCATCACAAACATGTAAGTTTTTAATTAAGTAACTATGCATCACTGTTTGCAGAAAATATTGTGCATTTTTTCCATTTCCAAGAGAAACTGTGTTAACATCTGTTCAAATAAAAAATCAGCAAAATCTGTTATTTATCAAGGGGTGCCTAAACTTTTGCATAAGACTGTATGTCTGTTGGTTAAGTGGTGTGTAGCTAAAAACATTCTCACGACCTCTAATACATGTCGTGACTGAACATAGGAACATTATGGCTAACTCTACAGTTTTACACATCATAATAATAATATTAAACACCCTGTCTGCTGACAGTCATCAACTCTTCTCTCTAGTTGTCCTTGACCAGATGTACCCTGCAGCAATTCATGTGCAGGCCTAAGCATTTAACAGTCTAACTAAACACCCTCTCTCCACTAACATTTCTAATACATAAAGTATCTATCCAATATCTATCTGACTAAAAATATCTAACAGTACTAAAAAAAATACCTCCATAATGAAAATACACTCCCACCCTTTTTTTTCCTCAGAAATAAGAATGCATCTCATTTGATATTTATCTGTATTCCTATGGATATTTGTTCTTACTTTAATGGGAAGTACACCAGTGCTTAATGCACCCTTTATTCATTAATGTTAGAAATGTTGTTCACTGGGAGGGAGAGAGAATAAAAGATAGATTTATGGTTGCTGGTGTTTTGTGTGTGAGAGCTACAGTTGACTGGCTGGCTTACACATGGTTGGTAAGACATCAAGGCAACACATCCTATGTTACATTTGAAATATACAGTATGTCATACATTTCAAAACGGAGTCACTTAATACTGACACAGTTGGGTATGATAAAGTTAATGTTTAAACTTTGTCAAGTTTACAACTGTTTAGTTGTAAACTAAACTATTGTTGTTTTGATTCAGATGTATCCTTGAGTTCATTTAGCTTTCTGTTCTGACTGGTTAAATGTCCACATAATTCAAACACCAAATTTGTTTTTCTTTTCTTTTTCTTTTTCAAGTCAATGTCAAACTTTGCTTGGATCTTTCAACAAAGCTGTAAAGATCTGTTTATGATTTGATTCCTGTCTAGCAGGGGATTTTTAGTCAAGAGTTAAGGTTAAGGTAAGGGGTTAGGAAATGCATTGTCAGTAAGTATCCTCACAATTATAATAAGGCACAACTGTGTGTTTTCTCATGTGTCTGAAATGTACAGGCTGAAGAGCACCTCAAATCTGTTGAAGGACACAATACTTCACAGCACCCTGCAAATAAATGATGATAAATGATCGTTTGGGTTAAATGTAATGTCACATTACAACATTGGCACACTCCTGTCTTAAAGACCTTTATTAAACCCAATTCCGCATTTATCTACCCATCATCTTGCTTTTTTTTTTTTTTTACTAACAAGCTACATATATGTATAAACAGCCTGAGAAAGAAATTATTGTGAAGAATAAATACTGTAAGCATGAAAATGAATGCTTGAGCCTCCATAATTAAGTGTGGATCATGCAAAATTAAAGATTATATGCATTTTAGTTTTCACCCCTATACTATGTATGTATGTGAAGGTGTGTGTTTTATCTCAAGTGGTCAAGAATGTATGGGAAAAAGTATGTGTTAAAATTATCACCGGCCTCCATTACACACAGTAGCTAGATACTTGCACACAACTTTATTTATTCTAGATTAACATTTTACCACATCATGGCATCAGATGCCATGATAACAAAAAATCAATGGTTAAGTCTTGAATTTATTTCGCCTTTTGTTTTGTAAACCTAATAAAGCCTTTGTAGAAACCTTTTTAAGCAAAGTTTCTCATTGACCCGCAAAAGCAGATACAACAGATGTGGACTGTTGTGGGATTGCCATTAGGACAATATCCCTGGGATTTTTTGTATTTAATATTTGTCAGAGGACTAACACAGCCATGGCATTTTGACCTTTGTGTGTTTTGACCTCCTGCATAGCTTAATTTTCCCACATATTGTATAATCCAAAAGTTATTAGAAAATGTCTGTGCAGATTCTCAGTCATCCAGGTCATAGAAAAACTGAAAAAACTTAGAAAAAATCAACTGGACTAGATTTCTAGGTCGAAGACATTTCACCTATAAGCTCTGTTTCATTTACAAAGCTTCTTCCGGCTCTTTCAAACCAGGAACTCACAAAGACGAAGTAGACCACCTTAGATTTTATAAAAAATAACCATACTGGTTTATTCAGAGGATCACAGGTAAAATTAACATTACACGTCCAGATCTCTCCCACCACCAACCTGCGCGCAGGCAGCTTGGAAGATGAAAGACCCTGAACCAAAAA